GCCTGGACCTGGGTGGGAGGGAGGGGGGCTGTGCGCTCTGCGCCGTCCCCGCCCCGCCCCCCGTGACCCCCCCTGCATGGCCGGCCCGGGTGGGGGGTGCGGGGGGGCCCGGGCGCCATGCGGGGGGGGCACAAGGGGGGTCGCTGTGCCTGTCCCCGTGTGATCCGAAAAGTGCTGGCAAAATGCGGTTGCTGCTTCGGCCCCGGGGGACGTGGTGAGTGCGAGGCCCGGGCCCAGCACTGAGTGGGGGGCGCCCCATCCAGGGGTTAGAGCCCTCAGTGGGGGCCGCCCCATCCAGGGGTTGGAGCCCTCAGTGGGGGGCGCCCCATCCAGGGGTTGGAGCCCTTAGTGGGGGGCGCCCCATCGGGGATTGGAGCCTGCCCGCGTTTTCCAGGAAAGTTGCTCACTAGAGGATCCTTGTGCCTCCCAATTTCTGTGTGTTCAACTCGAGGTGGGGAAGGGCAGCACCGGGTGGGTTTGAGCACCCACCGGCGGGGGGGCGCGGACGGGCACCGCCTGGACTCTCCATCACACCAGTGCTTGGGTCTCACGGGGGGGGGGGCGCACCTGGCACCCCCTCCACGAGACTCGCTTTCTAGCCTGAAGCGCCGCCGGCTTAGCGGCTGTGCTGTGCGGCCGGGGAGGGCCGGGGAAGGCTTTTCCCTTGGGCCTGATGGCTGCAGTGAGTGGGGGTCCGGAGGTGGCAGTGGGCCCTGGCGCCCCACGCCCTCCCTTCTCAGAATGGTCTGTACCCATTGGAAAGGGAGGTTGTTTGGGAGCAGACGGGCACCCCCGCTTCTGCCTGCCCAGATGGTGCCCCCACCCTCACATCTGTGCGCTCGGAGGCCTCCACATGGCCTGGGAGCCGGCTCACCGCTTCCTGCCTGGCTTCCTTGGGAGGAGGAATGCAGCTTTCTCTCCCGGCCAGCTCAGTGAGGATGCCCAGAGAGAGCCAGGGGCGAGCGGAGACTCGGGGCGCCCTGAGAACCCCGAGTCTGGGGCTGCAGCAATATCGGTCATCCCCTTTCTCCCCCACCCCCGTCAGAGTCCTATTCCGCTGCTGGCAGTGAGGGGAGCATCTCGGCTTCTGCTGCCTCGGGTCTGGCGGCCCCCTCGGGGCCTAGCTCTGGCCTCAGCTCGGGCCCCTGTTCCCCGGGCCCCCCAGGGCCAGCCAGCGGCCTGCGAAGATGGCTGGAGCATTCCAAACATTGTCTGAGTGTGGAAACTGACGCAGAGGGTGGTCACGCCGGACCCTGCGAGGTGAGCGGGGAGCATCCCGAAGCCGCTGGAACGTTCAGGAAAGACCCCGGGGCGCCGGGGCAGGTGTGTGCTCCCACACCCTGGGGAGACGCTGCTGGTTCTGACCTGGCGCTCGACTCTGCCCCCAGGACTGGATGCTGGAACCCACCCTGGCCGCGGGAGAGGAGCTGCCAGAGCTGACCCTGCTGACCACGCTGTTGGAGGGCCCCGGAGACAAGACACAGGTGAGGAGAAGCGGGCTGGGGAGGCGGCGGCCCGCAGCTGCTCGCCAGCACCCACGGCGCTCTCTCCTCGCAGCCCCCCGACGAGGAGACGTCCCCCCAAGCCCCCGAGAGTGAGGAGAGCGAGGAGGAGCAGAAGAAGAAGGCTCTGGAGAGGAGTATGTGAGTGCTCG